CTTGCTTCGTCCTCTCAGCCCTGCCTCAGAGAACCCTGCTGATGGTTTTAGGTTAGCACTTTTTTTCTCTCTCTTGTTCTGTGAGTTCTGTCTTATTGGCAATAATAATCACAAAGGCGGAATGGCCTCTGATTTTCCTGAGACGACTTGACAGGACATATCCTTCTGTCCATCTAGACAGTGGTTCCCAAACCAAGAGCCACTTGGTGAGGCTGCTGACGTACCTCCCAGGGCGGCCCATCGCGGAGGTGCCCGTCGGCCCCCAGCTGCTGTATGAGATCGGGAGGCTGGCCGCCACCTTGGATAAGACGCTGGAGGTAAGACTTGGGGTTTTGTTTCACGTGTGAGCATTTGTTATTTGTCTGGGTGTGATTTTATATTATTTTTTAAAGTTTTTTAAAATATATTTTATTGATTTTTTACAGAGAAGAAGGGAGAGGGATAGAGAGTTAGAAACATTGATGAGAGAGAAACATCGATCAGCTGCCTCCTGCACGCCCCCCACTGGGGAAGTGCCCGCAACCAAGGTCCATGCCCTTGACCGGAATCGAACCCGGGACCCTTCAGTCCCCAGGCCGACGCTTTATCCACTGAGCCAAACAGGCCAGGGCTATTTTTATTGGTTTCAGAGAGGAAGGGGGGGGGCGGGGAGAGAGAGAGAGAGGGAGAGAGGTGGGGGGGGGGGGGAGAGAGAGGGAGAGAGGAAGGGAGGGAGGGAGAGAGGGAGGAGGGAGGGAGGGAGGAACATCAATGATGAGAGAGAATCATGAATCGGCTGCCTCCTGCACGCCCCACAATGGGGATCGAGCCCAAAACACGGACATGTGCCCTGACTGGGAATCGAACCCTGACCTCCTGGTCAACTCAACCACTGAGCCACGCCGGCCGGGCTATATTATTTTTAACATAAGCCCGAGTCAGGCTCTCGCCTTACGGGTGGTGCCCCCTGACGTCTTACAAAGGCAGCGGGACCCTGGATGTGTGACTTTATGACTGGAAGGCTTCTTTCCCGCCCGTCTGTGCTTCCCTGGTTTCCTCGCAAGATCCCGGCGTGGTCGGAAATTCACGGTGGTCTCTACGCTGCTCGCTGAGCACGGCCTGCGTCCGCAGACCAAACCCACAGTTCCCATCCGGAGGAGGCGCGGCCAGCCGAGCGCTGTGTGACGCAACCTCTGTGTGACGAGTGGGTGGGAATGACTTGCGTTAAGACTGTCTGTCCTCGCCCTGGCCGGTGTGGCTCAGGGGATAGAGCGTCGGCCTGCGGACTCAGGGGTCCCGGGTTCGATTCCGGCCAAGGGCATGTGCCTGGGTTTCGGGCACGTCCCCAGTGGGGGGTGTGCGGGAGGCAGCTGGTCCATGATTCTCTCTCATCGATGTTTCTAACTCTCCATCCCTCTCCCTTCCTCTCTGTAAAAAATCAATAAAATATATTATAAACAAAAAAAAGAAAAAAGAATGTCTGTCCTATAGAAACGCTATCACGTACGACGCGTACCCACCGAGTGCCTGTTACATGCTGGGCACCGGGGGAAAGGGAAGGAGTCCCCTGTCCGAGAGGAGCGTGTCCCAAGGGGACAGATGCACACTTTATTTTTTTAAAATATATTTTTATTGATTTCAGAGAGGAAGGGAGATGTGGGGGGAGAGAGATAGAAACATCCATGATGAGAGAGAATCATGGATCAACTGCCTCCTGCACGCCTCCCACTGGGGATGGAGCCCTTACAACCCAGGCCTGTGCCCTTGTCTGGAATTGAACCCGGGATCCTTCATTCCACAGGCTCTATCCACTGACCCACACCGGCCAGGGCCAGATGCACACTTTCAAAGGGAATCACACCTGTCTTCATCCTCTTAGGATGTGCGAGACGGGAATGTGCTTGCTCTGAGGACTGTGAGCCTGAGCCACATGAAGGGGCACCATTCGTGGATGTGTGTCCCTGGGCGAGTCAGCGTCCAGGAGAGAACGCCAGCCCTGTCCCCAGGCCTGCCGCGGGCGGGTGCGGCCTCCTATCACAGACCCCTCCGTCGTGGTTGCTCTGGCCGCCAAGAGTCTGAGCGTTTCTTGCTTTCGGTTTAGGAGTTCCATCACCCAAAGTTAAGATGTCTTCGCCGGGAGGACTTCATCTGGAACCTGAGAAACGTCCCTCTTCTGGAAAAATACCTGAGCGCCTTGGGCCAGAATCGGAACCGGGAGATGGTGGAAGAGGTCCTCCGGCTCTTCAAGGACGAAGTCTTGCCCAAGTTAAGTCATTTCCGAGAGTGTGAGTATTCATCTCGATATTTAAATTGTCAAATTTCAGCCCGCCGGCCGGTGTGGCTCAGTGGCTGAGCATCGACCTGTGAACCAGGAGGTCACGGTTCGATTCCCGGTGAGGGCACAGGCCCGGGTTATGGGCTCCACTCCCAGTGTGGGGCGTGCAGGAGGCAGCCGATCCATGGTTCTCATCATTGGTGTTCTGTCTCTCTCTCCCTCTCCCTTCCTCTGTGAAATCAATAAAAATACATTTTAAATTGTCAGATTTTAAATCATCAGGAAAAGTGTGGAGTTACAACGTAGCTTTACCGAATTGTCATCAGAACAAATTTTTTTGGAAATCTGAGGTTAAATATAAAGAACACAACTGGCCCATCCTAGGACCCTTTGCTGCTTATAATCTGAAGGCATGTATATTTTTAACATTTCTGACTGGAGCCATTCTCCGTTTCCCTTTACTCCTCTGGTTTGTGAAAATTAAGTGTTTGCAGCAGCTACATTCTCCATCTGCTGGCTTTGTATTGATGAGAAGCAAAAACACCACCAAAATTAACTGCTTTTGTCCTTTTGCAGAGGAAGTTATTTTGCTTTAAGAAAAATAGAGTTTGGTTTGGCTTATTTACTTATTATTTTTTAACCCTCACCTGAGGATATTTTCTCCATTGCTTTTCAGAGAGAGTGGAAGGGAAGGAGGCAGGGGGAGAGAGAGAGAGACGGACAGGCAGACAGACAGGCATGTGAGAGACACACGTCAACTGGTTGCCTCCTGCACTCGCCCCCACGGGGTGGGGAGCAAATCTGAAACCCAGGTACATGCCCATGACTGGGAATCGAACCCATGACCCTTTGGTATGGGGACTGTCGCTCTAACCACTGAGCAACACCAGCCAGGGCAGGGTTTGGCTTTTTTTTTTTTTTTTTTTTTTTTTTAAATCTCTGACTGCTCATCAAATGACCGGAATGGCCGTGCCTGAGACGGAGAAATGGAAAGAGAATGAACTGGGTTCTGAAGGATGGCTGTCGCACGGCTGGCTTTTCTCTCCTCGCAGGTGTCAATCACGGCGACCTCAACGACCACAACATTTTAGTGGAGCCCAGCGAGCCCGCCTCCGGGGAGGCCGCCTTTCGCGTGTCCGGGATCTTGGACTTTGACGACATGAGCTGTGGCTACTACGTGTTTGAGGTGGCGATCGCCATCATGTACATGATGATTGAGAGCCGGGACCCCATGGGGGTCGGCGGCCACGTCCTCGCGGGGTTCGAGAGCGTCATCCCGCTGACGCCGGCGGAGCGGGGCGCCCTGTTCCTGCTGGTGTGCGGGCGTTTCTGCCAGTCGCTGGTCATGGCCGCGCACTCCTGCCGGCTGCACCCGGAGAACGCCGAGTACCTCATGATCACGGCGAAGACGGGGTGGAAGCACCTGCAGCAGATGTTTGCCATGGGCCGGAGAGCCGTCGAAGACCTCTGGTTCGACACGGCCAGGTCCTACGGGTCCGGGGTCCCCGTGTGACCTGCGTAAACGTTCACACGAACCTGGGTGGTTAACCCAATGGGACCCAATCGCAGTCGACGAGGGATTTTCCTGCGCAGTTAAAAGGGAATCGATGGAGCCCTAACCAGTTTGGGTCAGTGGATAGAGCATTGGCCTGGGGACTGAAGGGTCCCGGGTTCGATTCCGGTCAAGGGCACATGCCTGGGCTGTGGGCTCGATTCCCAGTGGGGGGCGTGCAGGAGGCAGCCGATCTATGATTCTCTCTCATCATTGATGTTTCTCTCCCTTCCTCTCTGAAATCAATGAAGATATATTTAAAAAAAAAAAAAGTGAATCGATGGAACGGATCCGTGCGTGTGAAGCCACCGAGGTCTTCAATCTCATGATGATATTTTAAACTAAGAAACACGTGAACAGTCATGTTTTCCTGTCGGTCTCGCGTGCCCTGTCCATGAAACACACAATGATATTTCGAATCAGATAGTCTCTCACCATCTCTTCCAGACCTGGTCAGCCTTCTAGCCTCACCCCCCCCCAACAAAAAACAAAACCCCCAAACCTTAAAACATGAATAGTAAATAGTTCGCATAGGGGTGGAACCCAGAAAGGAGCGGTGGATGGTGAACACATTTGAAAGCCGAGTTTCAGTACAGAAATGGTGCTTGAGTGTGATGGTCGGCGCGGGGAGTCCAGCCCGTCGGGACCCGCAAGGTGGAAGGCAGAGGGCGAGGCGGAGAAGCAGGGAGCGAGGTTTGGGGGTCCCGCAGGCGCTGTCCGAGCCGGCAGTGCTGAAGGGGAAGCGGGCACAGCGAGAAGGTGCAGAGCACGATTAGCCATTGACCCCACGTTCTCCTCCGCGGGGGTTTTCGGGTGCTCCCCCCACCCTGTGTCGCCCCCTCAGCTGAGGACCCCGCCGGGCCGCCGGACCCCACCTCCCTGGTCCCATAAGGTAGCAAGCAGCCCCTGCTCCGGAGGACTTCCGCGTTCTAGGCCCCGCCCCCGAGGGTCTTTCTTGTCCTTGTCCCCGCCCCCGGAGGCCTTTCGCACCCTCGGCCCCGCCCCCGGAGGCCTTCCGCACCCTCGGCCCCGCCCCTGGAGGACTTCCGCACCCTCGGCCCCGCCCCAGAAGGACTTCCCTCTCCTCGCCCCGCCCCTGGAGGACTTCCGTGCCCTCGCCCCGCCCCAGAAGGACTTTCGTTTCCTCAGCCCCGCCCCTGGAGGACTTCCGCGTTCTCGCCCCGCCCCTGAAGGACTTCCGCGTCCTCGGTCCCGCCCCCGGCGGTTCTGCGCACGCGCGGGGGCCATATTGGCGGCCACTCGCTAACACCGGTGGTTTTCTCCCGCGGGTGAAGCTCTCCGTGGAGACCTTAACTCAGTGCCTTCTCTCCGGTGAGTCCGCGTCTCCCGGCACCGCTGCAGCGTGGCCGCCGTCCCCGCGGGCGGGCGGGCGAGGGTCGTGGGCGCCGCGGCAGAGCGGGTCCGGCCTGGAGCCGCCGCGCGATGACTGTGCGGCGCTCCTGGGCGACGGGCTGGCTGGCCCCTGGCGGCCGCCGTCGGCCCGGCCCGGCGCGGAGCGGGCTCGCGGAGCTGAGGCCGAGGTGGGCGGCCCCGGGGAGCGTGGCTTCCGTCCCGGGAAGAGCCGCGCACGGGGAAGCGACCCGGTCCGTCGGGGCCCGCGGGGGAGGTCGCCCTAACGTGCCAGCCGGGCCCGGAGGCCGCCGCCCCGCGGAGCCCCGTTTCTTGGGAGAGAAAGTCCCCGCGTCTCCCGGGGCGCGGGCCCCGCAGAGACCACGCCGCGTGCCCCGCTTGGGGCGAGGGGCGTCGGGGTCCGAGGTCTGAGCCCCGGGGCGGCGCTGGCCGGGCCCGTTACCGGTGACGCCGAGCTCGCCGCCCGCCGCCCGCCCTCCCGCGGGGCCAGGTAAAAAGTTCAGACGCTTATTTTGCTTTTTAAATCGTTGTTCATCCGCTTTGTGCTCCGAAGGAATCATGGTCCCCGGGCTGACGCCAGCCTGACCCTCTTTTTCCTTTTTTAAACTGATTTTTGGAGAGAGGACGGGGCGGAGAGAGGGAAACAGAAAGGGAAAGAGAAAAGCGTGGACGCCAGAGAGAAGCGTCGGTCCGATGGCTCGATGTCTCGCGCCGGCCGCTGCCCGGACCCGGGGTGGCACCCGCCGCCGCCTCTCGGTGTGCGGGACGGCGCGCCAACCATTGAGCAACACCGGCCGGGGCCTGACTCCCCCCCTTCCCCCCCCACGCACACCCCTTCTTCCTCTTAGACCCGGGGGTTCGCGCCGCCTCTGCCAGGACTCACGTGGGCTCGTTGTCTGTGTTGTGCTGGTTTTCTTTCTTTTTTTCAGAAAAGCACTTTGTTGGCTTCCTCCATCCCTCTTCCCCACTCCCCACCCTGGTGCCTCCATCGCCATGTTGCTGTGTCCCCCGACCTCCCGCCTGTGGACAGGGACGGTCTGACCCCTCCCGGGGCTCCAGCGCCCGGCACCACCTGCCGCACTGGGCAGCCGCTGCCCCGGGCAGCCAGCCAGATGAGCCCTGGCCAGTGTGGCTCAGTGGGCAGAGTGCCAGCCCCGGGGCTACAGGTCCCCGTTTCTATTCGGGTCAGGGGCATGGGCCTCGGCTGCGGGCTTGGTCCCCGGTCCGGGTCAGGGCGCCTGCCGGAGGCAACCCGTCGATGTGTCTCTCTCACATCGCTGTTTTTCTCTCTCTGTCGCTTCTACTCTCTCTAAAAATTAAAAAAAGAAAAGAAAAATCAATGGAAAATATCCTCGGGTGAGGACCAACAGCAAAATAAGAGATTGGACTTGACCGTGATTTAAAAAAAAAAACCAAATGAGGGGAGTGGACAAAACATTTTTCTTAAATATGTTTCTTTATTGACGTCAGAGAGAGGAAGGGAGAGGGAGAGAATCCAGAGAGAGAATCGTGGATCGGCCGCCTCCTACACGCCCCGCACTGGGGATGGAGCCCGAAACCCGGGCCTGTGCCCTGAGCGGGAATCGAACCCGGGACCCTTCAGCCCGCAGACCGACGTTCTATCCATTGAGCCGGCTACAGCGACAAAACATTTTTTAGAGTCAGTGGGAATGCTTCTTAAATTGTGAGTTTCATTTTAATAAGGATCCTGTTTTCCCTTCGCAGGAGCCGTGAAGTTCAGGAAACATGGTAAGTTGTACACCTACCCTAAGCTGTCGCCTGGCAGGACGTCCTGCTGGTAGCAGCTCAGGCGTGGATGGTGGATGGGGACTCGGGGCGGGGGGGAGGGGAAGAAGGCGGAGGGGCCTCGCCCACCGGTTCCCGCGGACACACGGACACACCGGGCTGTGTGCCAGGACGTGGAGGCGGCGTCCTGCGGGCTTGTCCGAGCTGCTCCCGTGGCCGGACTCACCGTGTGCTTCCTTTGCAGTCTCGCAGATATGACTCCCGGACCACCATCTTCTCCCCAGAAGGTAAAAGTCGTCTTGTCTGATCGGCTCACAATGTTCTCAGTGTTTGACTTTTTTGGAGGGGGCGGGCGCGGGGCCTAGGCACTTTTTTGTCGTGGCTCAGTCTCTGCCTGAAGTCACTGGTCACCAGGGTGATTCCCTGCCCACGGGAGCGTGGAGGCGGGACGCGTGTGTGTGTGGCTGCGTGTCCCGCGGACTCTCTGGGGCCAGTGCTGTGGGCACCAGAGCTGGCGTCTTGGCATCTCACCGTCGTGTCCTGCAGGCCGCCTGTACCAGGTGGAGTACGCCATGGAGGCGATCGGCCACGCCGGCACCTGTCTGGGGATCTTGGCGAACGACGGTGTGTTGCTGGCAGCCGAGCGGCGCAACATCCACAAGCTTCTGGACGAAGTCTTCTTCTCCGAGAAGATTTACAAGCTCAACGAGTGCGTGGGTGCCGGGCGGGGGGGGGGGGGGGGGGGGGCGTCCCGTAGCTCCCGTGCCCACATAGCAGGGCCTCACCGCTTGGGGAGGGGCGTTCCCGGCGACAGGAAAACGGAAGTGAACAGGTTGTGGCGTTTTTACTGGCGGAAATGTTTGAGTTTTATTTAATTTGAAACCTCTTTGAGGCTTAGGACCACGTGTAATTTTTTTTAATATATATTTTTATTGATTTCAGAGAGGAAGGGAGAGGGAGATAGAAACATCCACGATGAGAGAGAATCATGGATTGGCTGCCTCCTGCAGGCCCCACACGGGATGGAGCCCACAACCGGGGCCTGTGCCCTGACCGGGAATCGAACCGTGTCCTCCTGGTTCCGAGGTGGACGCTCAGCCCCTGAGCCGCGCGGTCCAGGCGTGCAATTCTTTCTGAGTGCAGGGACTAGCACTTGGTGGAGGAACGTGCTTGGTGTTGAAAGATTACCGTGTGGTGGTGACAGGTTTGGGTTCAGTCCATGCTCTGCTGATGCAGGCGGTGTGGCTTTGCAGCAGCTGTTTAACTTCTCTGGGCCTCAGCGCCTCCTAGTGGTGGTGGCAGTTTAATGAAATGGAATAAAGTGAATGAAACGCTAGCCCAGTGTCGGACAAGAAGCAGGCCCGCAGAGTCCCACCTCCTGGAGGTCTGGGAGCAGGTCAGATGAGCCCGTTAGTTTCGGATGATGGGCGAGCAGGACTGCCTGGCTGGCGGGGCTGGATCTGCCCAGGAGAGACTTCCCGAGTGGCGGGCCGGCTGAGAGCCGGTTCTAGGGCCTGGTGATAACTCGCCCAGGGAGGCGTCACCCTCCGAAGTCACTGCTGGGCCCCCTGGGAGGCTCGCAGGCTCGCACAGGCGCAGTGACAGCGGGTGTGGGCTGCCGGGAGCCGGGCAGCCCTCAGGGAACGGGGCAGGGACAGGAAGTGCACCCTTGGAGCCGAGCCCTGGTCCCCTCCCTGCACCCTGACCAGGCCTTGGCAGTGGAAGCAGGGGGCCTCCTCCTGTCTAGCAGAGCCTTTTCCGAATCTCCTCGGGATTTCCGCTGCTTCCTGGTGTTCATTCTCTGCCGCGGTTCACGGTGTGGGGGTGACAGGTCCGTCTGTTAAAGAGCTGAAGGGGGCGGGGTCTCCTGTCACGTGACATCCGGTTTATCCTACGATGGTAACTGTTCAGACAGAAGCTTCTGTGGCTGGAAGCAAGCGTGGTCAGGGACGCTCTCGGACGTCGCCCGCTCACACACCGACGTGTTCCTTCTCCCCCAGGGACATGGCGTGCAGCGTGGCGGGCATCACCTCCGACGCCAACGTGCTGACGAACGAGCTGAGGCTCATTGCACAGAGGTACGGCCTGAGGGGCACGGTCACGATCGTGAACGCAGAGACGGGGTCACTGCAGATCTACTCACTGAAAATGATCGTGTGATTTCAAAAACATCTACTCGTAAAGTTACTTCCGCGGGAACGTCGGGGTGTTGGCATCCCCCCGCCCCTCCCCTTTCACGTGACAAGTGGCTGTTGCCGTGTTCCCGTGGCACAGACTTCCTCTCAGAGGGCACTTGGCTTAGAACGTAATGTGTTTTAGGAAAAAGTAACCTGCCTTTTCTCGTCCCAGGTACTTACTGCAGTACCAGGAGCCGATCCCCTGTGAGCAGCTGGTGACGGCGCTGTGCGACATCAAACAGGCCTACACGCAGTTCGGAGGTAGGACGTCTGGGGCAGGTTTTATTCCAGAAAGGGAAGCGTTTTCTGGGGAACGGTAGCTTTGAGATGGTGAAAGACATTGAAAACTAAACGAGTAAATACGTTCCATGCTTTCTGCTTCATGAGATAGCCGGCTTCCACGGTGTAGATGATCATGTTTTATTAATAGGCCAGTGAGAGACCAAAATAACGGTTTCCGATCTGGAAACATTGCTTTTTGCATAATAATGGATTCGGCGCGGGGCCTGCGTCCAGGCCGACTCCGGGCTGCGTCCCAATCCTGGGAACAAAAGTGGACGTTTGGATGGAGCTGGCCTGGTGGCCGGAACCCAAAGCAGCGACGAACACGTGGCCCCACGGCACAGGGCCTCAGCTGCCGCCGGGAGCTCAGTCACATGGTGACGCTGCGTCTGGTTGTCGATCCCTGACGGCGTTTTCTGTGTGGCAGGGAAGCGTCCCTTCGGGGTGTCGCTGCTGTACATCGGCTGGGACAAGCACTACGGCTTCCAGCTCTACCAGAGCGACCCGAGCGGGAACTACGGCGGCTGGAAGGCCACCTGCATCGGCAACAACAGCGCCGTGAGTGTCCGCGGCCGGGGGTCCGGGAGTGGCCGTGAGTGTCCGCGGCCGGGGGTCCGGGAGCGGCCGTGAGTGTCTGCGGCCGTGAGTGTCCGCGGCCGGGGCCTGGGAGCGGCCGGGGCCTGGGAGCGGCCGTCGTTTGAAATCGTGGTGAATGTGAACAGTGTGTGCAGAGCTGCAGCGCCCCTGGTACCTGTAGTTGCTGTTGGCAGTGAAGCCACAGGCCCTGCCAGTCCCACTGGGTCCATCGCCTGCGTGTGTAATGAAAGGAGATGCTAACTTTTACAAAATAAATCTTTATTGATTTCAGAGAGGAAGCGAGAGGGAGAGAGAGAAACATCCATGACGAGAGAGAATCATGGATGAGCTGCCTCCAGCACGCCCCCTGCTGAGGATGGAGCCCGCAGCCCGGGCCTGTGCCCTTGGCCGGAATTGAACCCGGGACCCTTCAATCCGCAGGCCGATGCTCTGTCCACTGAGCCACACCAGCCAGGGCAAAATGCTAATTTCAATGAGAAGTGGTGAAAATAAGATGCAGCTTTTTTTACCTCCTGGTTCACAGACCCCTCCCTGAATTTTTCATGGAACCTTGCAGGTCTGAGGCCCCAGGTTAAAGACTCCATTCACAGAGCGTCAGCACCCCCACCCCTACCCAAACGCTTAAAGGGAACCCTCTCTGTCGATGTCCTGTTTCCCAGGCAGCGGTGTCCATGCTGAAACAAGACTACAAAGAAGGGGAGATGACGCTGAAGTCGGCACTTGCGTTGGCCGTCAAAGTCCTCAATAAGACCATGGACGTCAGCAAGCTCTCAGCGGAGAAAGGTAGCTGGGGCCCCTGACGTGCTTCCGCGAGGGAGGGATTGAGCGGCCGCTGCACTCGGCCTGTCGCGTGTGGGCCTGACCTGTGGGTCAGGTGGCCTCACACCCATTTCCTCAATGGAGCCTCGAGGCCTGGGAGGGGGAGTGGCGTGACCAGGTCAGCGGCCATACGCTGTGGGGCCACCAGCCACAGGACGTCCAGGCGTGAGGACTCGAGCCTGCTGTCCTCATGGCCAGAGCTGGAGATCTGGGCAGTGCTGCTTCCCGTCGGTGATTGTCTTACCGACTTCGTGACCGTGGTGTCTGTGTTCGTGTGTCCCTATGAGCATGTGTGTAGTTACGTGTTTATATGTACGTGTGGGTGGTGGACTTTACCGGAGGCGTAACGTGTGTGTTGTGGTATCTGTCCTGAGTCTACTGATCTCGTATGTGAAGTCCCCGCCTGCCTTTTTTTTTTTTTTTTTTTTTTTTTTTTTTTTTTTTTTTTGTGCCCTTGACCGGAATGGAACCTGGGACCCTTCAGTCTGCAGGCCGATGCTCTATCCACTGAGCCAAACCGGTCAGGGCCCCGTCTGCAATTTTAAATGCTTTATCTAGCTTGTTATGTCGCTGTATAAAGCAGTATTTCACAGTAATGTTTTTCAGGAATGGTAAGTCAGCAGATGAGTTAGTTTAGGAGAACGTCTCTCCTGCCCTCAGAGGATGCATGCTTCTGCCCATTCCCACTTTCCACTCCATCCTCCCGGCTCAGAAATTCCTTCTCCTTTTAGATGTCAGTCTGCTTTTTTGTCCACAGTCGGGGAACCTGCGCTTCATGCCTTTGTTTTGTAAAGGCCGTGAGAATCAGGGTAATTACTGGTCAAAGGTTCCAGCTGAGCCTGCAGAGGTCCCAGCAGGAAACGGGGCTCCCTCGGCCACCAGCTGAGGCTGGTTAGCGCCAGCAACTGGCTGGTTGTCCTGTGTCCAGGGTGACAGCGCAGCAGCTCAGGTTGGAATGGGTAGGAGGAAGGCATTTAAGTAAAAATGATCACGAAAGTGCTGAGATGGGAGGTGTTTTGTCCCCATAAAAGTGCCCGTGAGTCGTATCAGCGTCAATCCTGGAAGGTGGTGGGCGAAGGCGTGAGGCTGTGCGGAGGGAGCTGGCGGAGACGCCCAGCTGGGCTGCCGCGCGTGTGCGGCTGTAACGCTGTGTTTGCTGCAGTGGAGATTGCCACGCTGACCAGAGAGAATGGGAAGACGGTCATCAGGGTCCTCAAGCAGAAGGAGGTGGAGCAGCTGATCAAGAAGCACGAGGAGGAGGAAGCCAGGGCGGAACGTGAGAAGAAGGAGAAGGAGCAGAAGGAGAAGGACAAGTGAGACGGGGCGGGCGTCGCCGACTCCGGGCCCGCAGCGGGAGCGGCCCCTTCCCGTTCCCCTTCCCGTCGGAAGCGCTGGCCTCCCAGACGGAGGGAAGAGGGGGAGCCGTCGATGGGCCCGCGGAACTCGTCCAGTCGAATGATAATCGCTCTTCATGGACCTTTTAACCTCCCTCCCCCTTTTTTGGGAATAAAACTTGGAAAGAATGGAAATGCTGCAGGACACACTGTCTGGCAGTGATTGTGGGCACAGGGTGAGGAGGTCTGTGGTCTCCGTGCGTTCGTGCGCTGTGTACTGGCACGCACGGCGTCAGAACGGACAGGATGAGCGTCACGAGGAGGGAGAGACCGGGCTGTGCCCTGGAGGTGTCTGCCGCGTCCCCTGCCGTCGGGTAGGACCCTGCCCAGGCCCCTGGCGGGAATGTCGGGGGCCCGTCCAGTGGGTCAGAGTCACTCCTCGGGGTCGCCAGCCTTGGGTGCTGATGGCTCTTCCTCCTGGACTCGACGTGCACACAACACATACACATACATGTGCACACGGATCACACGTACAGCATGACAGGCCCAATGACGGCGAAAGCCCGGTGCCCCCTCCCTCCCTCAGCACCAACAGCCAGTGCTTCAAGCCCCCTGTGTCCCTTTCAGGCCTCATTCTCTCCTCCCCTCCGCCCGAGAGAGAGAGAGAGAGAGAGAGAGAGAGAGAGAGAGAGGGGGGGGGGGGGGATTCTCCCTCGGTTACCCCTCCTCTTAGCTACGGCTCCTGCAGCCTGCTTTTCTGTCCCTCGACCCCAGGTGGGCACAGCCTCAGGCTGGCCCGCTGACCTGTCTGTCTCCAGGGACGGGCTGGGGAGTGAACCCGGGCTGAGCCAGGCCAGGGCTGTGTGCGCGTGAGGATCCCGCAGCCAGGACAGGCCCCCCGCAGGCAGGTGGCAGGTGCAGGGGGTGGGGGCTGCAGCGGAAAGGGGACCAGCCCCGCCACAGGGAGCCCCCTGCCAAGCTCACCCCCGCCCTGGAGTTCTGCCCCAGAGTTCTCGGAGTTGCTGCTGTTGGGATGGCAGGTCCACCTCCAGCTCCCCCCAGGGACTGGCTGGCCCTGCAGATTCTGGGGTCCCATCCCCCACCCACCGGATAAGAGTAGACGTGGCGTGGAGCCCAGCCGTCCGTGCTCACAGGCTCTGACATTGGAGATTTGCTGCGTGTTAGAGTCACCCAAGGGCTTTACTTATTGTAAACATGTTTTGGGAGAGAGGAAGGGAGAGGGAGAAGGAGAGAGAAACATCTACTGGGGATCGAGCCCGCAACCCGGGCCTGTGCCCCGACCAGGAAGTGAACCATGACCTCCGGTTCACAGGTCGACACAACCACGGAGCCACACGTCCAGGCGAGAGCTTTTACCTCTGCCCTCAGGCTGTGCTCCCCAACAGCTCAGTCAGCCTCTGGGGCGGTGCCCTGGCAGCAGCATCCCTTCAGGCCTCCCCGGGTGACCTGCGGGCGGGCGGGCAGGGACAGGACGCAGCCCTGAGCCACAGCGGAGCCCTCCCAGCTGACCCTCAGGCGCTCAGAGGAGCAGGGGTTCCTGCAGTTTTCCGTGGGGCTCACTCAGGCCACGGTATTTCCAAGCCCCTTTGGCCTTTCCTGCCCTGGCCGGTTTGCTCAGTGGATAGAGCCTCGGCCTGTGGACTGAGGGTCTCGGGTTTGGTTCCGGTCCAGGGCACGTGCCTCAGTTACAGGCTTGATCCCGGCTCTAATTGGGGTGTGTGCGGGAGGGCCCAGTGGGCACGTCTCACATCGATGTTTCTCTCTCCCTTCCACCCTAAATATCAATGGGGAAATATCCTTAGGTGAGAACTAACAATGAAAAAGACAGGCATTTTCTGCCCCCCCCCCTCCTAAAGTAGAAGCCGCCCCGCCCCCCCTCCCGCCCCCCGCCATCCTAGCCAGGTAGCTCGGTCGTTAGGGGCACTGTCCCCATACGCCAAGGTTTCGGGCTCGATCCCGGTCAGGGCACATATAAGAATCACCCAATGGCTGCATCAGTAAGTGAAAAAACAAATAAATGTTTCTCTCTCAAATCAATAAAGGAAATTTTTTAAAAAATAGAATCCCCGCCGAAACCGGTTTGGCTCAGTGGATAGAGCGTCGGCCTGCGGACTGAAAGGTCCCAGGTTCAATTCCGGTCAAGGGCATGTGCCTGGGTTGCGGGCACATCCCCAGTGGGGGGTGTGCAGGAGGCAGCTGATCGATGTTTCTCTCTCATCGATGTTTCTAACTCTCTATCTCTCTCCCTTCCTCTCTGTAGAAAATCAATAAAATAAAAAAAAAAAAAAAAAAAATAGAATCCCCGAAAAAAACATAATTCAGGAGTTCGGGGCCACGGTCTCTCTCGCCTGGCCCGCTCCTGGCTCGGAGTGAATCTTCAATAAACCCCACTTGACTTGGATTTCATTCCCATTGGCCTTAAAATCTGTTCTAATTGACGAGAAGAACCCAGGTCCCAGCCAGCAACCCCAACCGGCAGCACAGGACCAACCCCGGGACCTTTCCTTGAGGACCCCGCTTCTCTGACTTCTTACTGAGCCCCAGCAGCCTGGCCTGGCTCAGTCCCCACCGAGCCCTTCTCCTGGGGTCCTGCCCCTCCCGGGCTCACTGTCCCCCCAACTCTCCGTTTTCTATTCATTTCCTCGAGAATGTTGATCGGATTCTGAAAGCTCCCTGTTCATTTTCTGCCTTCCTCTCTAAGTAAGTTCCACGGAATCAGGAATCACATTACCCTGTTGGCCGCACCGCTGGAGGACTTGTGGCAGAGTTGATGCTGAAATACTTGCTGAATGAATGGCTAGGAACCGACACGGGACAATTCAAGGCTGGGCGCTTCCTGGGATTCCAGAACCTTCTGTCTTCCCCGCCGAGCACTGGAGAGAGTTCTCCGGCTCACCGCCACTGAGCGGATCACAGGCCACCGAGAAGCCACATACCCTCTCCCTCCGGTGACCTCACATGTTGTTGCGTTTTCAAAAACAACAACACGGAAAAGACCCAGAATGAGTCGGGCACGTCATAGACGTGGGGCAGCCGTGGGGCAGGGAATTAGCAAACGATTTCTGATCCTGAGGGGCTTGGCTCCGGCAGCTTAGAGTGCAAGAGAGTCAATGCCGCCCATCACTCTAACTTCAGCGGGGGCTGTGGGCCTGGTCTTCCCTCTGACCCCACGGGAAACTGGGCATGACTTCGCCTTCCACGGGGCGGGGTGGGCCCGTGGGGTGGGCCCTGGCCGGATCAATGAAAGGGGTGGATTCAGAGCCGTCTCCCAAGCAGCCCCATCTGGATTTTATTTGATCCTTACTTTCCTAGGATCCTTACTTCCCAAAAAGTGTTATATGGCCGTTTACAAATGACAAGTGAAAGCGAAATCTGTTTAATTTTTTAAAATATATTTTTATTGATTTCAGAGCAGAAGGGTTCAGAAGGAGAGAGAGAGAGAGAGAGAGAGAGAGAGAGAGAGAGAGAGAGAGAGAAACATCCATGATGAGAGAGAATCATGGATCGGCTGCCTCCTGCACGCCCCCTACTGGAGATCGAGCCCACAACCCAGGCCTGTGCCCTTGGCTGGAATCGAACCTGGGACCCTTCAGTCTGTAGGCCGACACTCTATCTACTGAGCCAAACCAGCTAGGGCTCGAAATCTGTTTAATTTTGAATTTTCTTGTGTGCTTTTGAGGACCCAAGAATGTCAAAATATCCCTTGATTGAAGTGGGAACGAGCTGGGAACAATTAAACGGGTGATTGATTGATTAAATTCTAAGATAGCCATTCTCTTGGTGCATAGCCACAAATTTCGGGAGCGTTTTAGTCTATAATTTGTGTTTTGTTTTGCTTTTAACTTATTTTTGGCCTATGTAGCAGTGACTATAAATACCTCTCATTTCTGGACTAGGAAGTGAATAAATTCTACCTTTCCACAGAATCAAACATTTGCTATTGTGCCTTGCAGATGTTAAAATAACGATATGTTTCTTTTTTTTAAATATTTTTTTATTGATCTCAGAGAGGGAGGGAGAGGGAGAGAGAGAGAGAGAAACATCAGTGATGAGAGAGAAAGGAAATTAATGGGCCATCTTTTATTAGATTGTAATAAGGAAATAGTAGTGCATAAAAATCATATCACGAAAATATCAACCATTTATAACACTGAGCTGTCCCAATAGAATTTAATAACCACAAAGATAGCACAATGCTCTAGCCCTAGCTGGTTTGGGTCAGTGGAGAAGTGCCTGCCTGCGGACCAAAGGGTCCCGGGTTCGATTCTGGTCAAGGGCATGTACCTGGGTTGCAGGCTCCTCCCTGGCCCAGACACATGCAGGAGGCAAGCAATCGATGTGTTTCCCTGACATCGATGTTTCTCTCTGTCTTTCCCTCTCTCTCCCTGAAAATCAGTGGAAAAATATCCTGGGGTGAGGATTAAAAATAGATAAATAAATAAATAGTGCACATTAAGTCCAGGGTTTGATTCCGGTCAAGGGCACATGCCCGAGTTGCGGGCTTGATCCCTGATGGGGGCCGTGCAGGAGGCAGCCAATCAATGATTCTCTCTTATCATTGACTAGAGGCCCGGTGCATGAAATTCGTGCAAGAGTAGGCCTTCCTCCCTCCCCACCAGCTGCCGGTACCGGCTTCCCTCTGGCACCCGGGACCCCGCTTCCCTTGCAGCCCCAGCTTTCTTAAAGCTCTACATGAGAATGTCTGCACTTCTACATGTGACAGCAGCTCAAGAAATAGCTCCTGCAGGAGACCTTCTGCTCTTCTTCCTTCTGAAGGATGGAATTTAATATCCTATCAATACTCGCTTTTGTCCTTTCATCTCGGAAGATGCATCTGATGTCAGCAGTAAAGTGGACAACGTCCGTTTTTATCGTTAATGAACTTGTCACTTTGCTCGCATCCTAAAGGCTCACCGCGGAATTTATCACCGAGCCGTAATGGAAGCGCTGAAGGGGAGATTTGCAGGCTCTGCCCAGCCCTGAATTTAGCTCAGTTGACCCCGTTATAAAAAAAGAGGAGGCAACAACTACATCGATGTGAAAGACAACTCATTCGGTCACTCCACTCGCAGATGACAATGTTCATTTTTTATTTCTGCTGTTTATTTGGCCTCCGAATCCCCTTCCCACTCTCTCTCTCTTTTTAAATATATTTTATTGATTTTTGTACAGCGAGGA